GCGTCGGTAGCATTGGTGCTCAGCACGGAAAACAAGATCGACGGAAAACAAATCAAGGAAAAAAAAAAAAAAAAAATGTTCGCTATTTTATAGATTTTTCATTGAGCACTGAATTTTAAAATCAAGTTTTTGTTAACATAAATAAGTTTTAGTTGAAGACCATAGTTCTACAACATAAAGATTTGTGATGTCAGGTTCATTTTGATTTCTAAAGTTGTTTTGCCATGACTAACATTAGTAGGTTTCCGAAAGTTGAGTGAACATGTTTGGAACCTAATTATGAATAATAAAGGAACTGATTTTGGAATTTCAAAAATTAAATCCTATTTTTAGGACTTAGGACAACCTTAATCGGATCTTAACACTGTACACAACCTTTGACCAGCTTCTCGATTGATTCAGATTTCACGCTAGGATGAATACGAGAAAGGTACAGCCAAAACAGCTCGGTGGGTTCAGGGACAGCAAGGACCTCGGTAAAGGCATTGTCGCCTGTTACTGCTTTAGAACCACCAACAAGTGGTTTGCTAGTGAGCGAGCCTTCATCACGGCGCCGTTTTAATGGCGGTTGACGCATGAAATTGGAGTTTGTCGGAGTTGTCAATGTGATTCGTTTCGATAGCTGAGCGATCTGCTGTTGTTGCTTAGCAATTTCCTTCCTAAGCTCAGCGTGTGCGATTTCCTGTCTCTCGGTGATAGAATTAATCACACTGCCAAACGACGAGACGGCAGTTTTGAACCGAGCACATTTCATCAGCTTGGCGCACTCGTTACACATCCAAAACAGGTTCGGGCTAGTGTGGACAATATTCAAAAAAGCCTTATTCAGCTTTGTGCCGCCGCACTTTAGGTGAATCATCCTGTCGCAAAAAGCCATGCAGGAGATGGATTCTTCAACGCCTTTAACTGGTTTAGCGCATTGGTCACAGGCGGAAGTCATGCTGACTCAGTTTCCAAAAGTGATTTAGAAACAGCGGTGAAGATGCTCTAATACGCAAAGAGGAATTGGATTCTCAAGATCGCCCAATGCTAGTCTGATATCGACAATAACACAACAGTATACACTACAATATGTCCGATTGAATAACTTTTTCACTGTTTTCACAACACACAATATGCTCTAATTAGACGATTATCGAAACGAACTGCACTTTCCACCAGTACAATATTACAGGTATACCGAACGGAAAAAAACGAATAACGATAGCCCGTGTGATAAAAAATCGACAAATTTAGCAGTGCACAATCACGACGATGTGAATAACAACAACTGTGATGATGAACAATGACTAAGGTGATATGCGAAATGTTGCAAAACAGTTCCGCACACTTCCTTAGTAACTGCTTCCAATCCAGCGGAAGAAAATCACTTGGAAGAACGCTGGAGTAAACCTCGTTGCAATGATCGAGCAACGCAACTATCGAAAGATAAACAAACTTTGACGTTTAACTTTTTGCAGGCAACTTTGCCTCCATAAATGCTTCCATAAATCTGAACGGGTTAGGATCAAGCAAAGTTGCTTTAGATAAAAACAATTCAGTCAGGAAGCTTTCTTCATAAAAGCCATTTTAAAACCTTATGAAAACCTTTTTTTCACAAATGGCCCATGAAAACCAACTTTTAAGCCAACGCCATATTACAATTACTTTGTTTGATTTTAAATACGATAATCATAAAAAGAAAATATCGGCTGAGCTTAATGGTTAAGGGGGGAGTATACTTTGATTTTTCAAAAAAATGCATTTTTTTGGCTTAAAATGTTCCTTGGGATGTATACTTTAATTTTGAAAAGACTCCAAGTCCGCCAGAATATTCCTTACCGCTTTACGAAGCGATTTCCTAAAACATGTAGCGGCGCGCTGAGAGAGCAATTTTATCTCTAAACGCGTTTATCTCGAAACGGGGTTTTTCAAACTGGCGTGGGAAATAACTCTAACCAGTTATCATCAAATTTGGATACCGTCGAGGTTTTCTTGTTCAGAATTAAATTTTGCTTAGAAAGACGTATCCACATTTTCGATTTTGTCAAAAATGGATTTTTAAGCCACGATTTTTTAAGCATTTTTAGGGTGAACAAATGGACTTTTTTTTCCCAAAGCCACAACTTTTGAAACAATTAATTTAAAAAAAAATCGGAATACGTATTTCTACCCCAAATTTCATTACAAATCAGGATTTTTGTTCGATTTATGTTCCAGGATCACATGGAAAGGAGTATTTTCCCACGCCGTTTTCCGACTTCCACGCGAGGACGCCCGCGCGACCTGGTGCACCGGCCACGGGGAGACGCCAATCGAGTTCAAAAAAAAAAATACAAATTGTAGTTCGAAGGATGACTAATAAATTAGTCATAACATATTTGCCCTCCCAGAGTGTTTTATTGCTTTAAAAAATAACGAAAATGCCTTACTTTTTGGACGTTCAAAGTGTACTACCCCCTTAATCTGAAGAATAACTATTTTTTTCTCCATTAAAAATAATAAGCAAAATCGACGTTTTCCGAGGGCGGACTTATTTTTTTCGATGTTTTCAAGTACATTTCACATAAGATTTAATATGGCACCTACAAATACGCCACTTTAAGAGAACAATTTTAATAATTTTGGAAATTGAATAGGATTTTTATATGATCAGATTATATTTCAATTATTTTGTTAAGATCGGATGGTATTTATGAATCCTTTTATATTATGATTGATGATTTTTCCAGTAGACTCAGCGAGCGGCTAGCGCAAATGGTTTTAAAAGGGTTTTTATTGTTGCCAAATAGCTTTTATTGTAGCTTAAATACGGGTTTCCTTGTCGCAGTAAATCAATCTTGAAGAGCTTCGAAAATATACCCTTCAGAACCTTCCCCAGGTTGGGCCAACTAGACAGATTCTCATCGTAATGAGGTTTTGGTGGATGCATCAATGGCATAGTAGCCTTGACCAGGGTTTTATGAATGTTGTTTTATAGTAGTTTTGGATTACTTCATAAAACTTAAAATGTTACTTGTGTAGGCAAGTCAAATGATCAACTCAGTTGAATTCAATTGGCTTGAAAAGTTGCGCCTGGTTCAACTTTTTTTCAATTCAAGTGAGTTGATCAAGTCAGTTGAATGGCATGGTTTACACGTTCAATTAGCGTTCAAGTCAGTTGAATTCAAATGACTTGATCAATTGACTTGCCCTGTCTAAACCCAGCTTTAGGTCTGTTCTTCTATAGCAACTCATTGTTGTGGTGCTTCCTCATTGTTTGAAGCTCGTTCGCTTTTACCATTATCGGAAGCCGCCATCTTCGATTTCAAAATGGCGTCGGATATCGATTTTCATCCTCTAGACATCATCCGATTCCCAAAATACCTTTATTGGTAAGTATTTTATAGCATTTCACACTTTTTCTCAAACTGGAAGCCGCCATCTTGGATTTCAAAGAATACCAGATACGAATACGATTTAAAAAATTTGACATCCACGTGCACAGATCTATGCGCATACGCTTAAATGAACGAAGTGAACAATCAGCAAAAGTCATAAAAGCTGCACGAATTCGGATCGAACAGCTTCGCTTCAATGCAAAAGTAAGTTCATTTGACAATGAAAGAAGAAATGAAGACTATTCAAGCCAAAACAAACAGCATGAAAATTGATCGAAAGTGGTTCTGTTGATGTTGACAGGGAACTGCTCGAAGAGAAGACATGATGACTTTCAATTGAAAGTGATGGTTGACAGCTTCATCGTCGCTTGACGATTTTCGATTGAAAGTAACTTTGTGGGGCCCTGCAGGCCGAAGCAGCTGTTTCTTTTTTAATTTAAAGAATCCAATTACATATTTTAGATTTTGTTGTTTTGTAAAAATATTCACTGAGCTAATCAACAGTGAGAGTATTTTCAAGTTGCTATTCGCTATTTCTCAGCTGTTTACTGAATATGAAGCGAACCAGCCTGTAGGCTGAAACCTCCATAGTAAAGAAAAAAAGAAAGCTGTTTACACTGTATTTCACATCCAACTGAGCCTGGAAAAATTTCATAACATTCTCCTCTAGTCCACCATGCGTCAATTTCCACCATTGGCCACTCAGACCTTTTAAACCTGTATGTTTCACCCTGAACCATGCCAACAGAGCAGCGCAGCAGGGAAACGGTGAAAAGCTACCATCATTTTTCATATTTTCATGTCTACCCGTCGGTCGTTTACTGCGCACCAAGTCTAAAACTACACTATAGGACTCTTGGCTGCGGGCAAACGGAACTGACTACCGGGCGTGAGTAGAAGTAAAATAATAATTTTTATGATCTCGAACGTCGATTATTCTTTACGATTTGTTTTGCGCCGACTTTTAGCACCCACCGAAAACACGTGTGCGCGCACCCCCGTCTTGATGTTATTGATAGGTTAGCTCAGTTTGTGCGAAAATGAGAACCGTGCTTGTCGGAAAACTCCGGAACCTAGACCGCGCGTGGAAAACCGCTGACCGCCTGATCGCCACCGCTGCGAGATTCAATTTCAAGGGTTTTATATTTTCCGGCTTCTTTGCCTTTGAGTTTTCGCATGGTTCTTTGTCGAGCGAAGAGGAAAAAAAAACACAAAATAGGATATCAGATTTCAAACTGCGCTCACTAATTTTCTTGGGAAAACAATCCGAAATGAGCGGCGTTTAATTGACGATTATGAGCCGAGGTCAGAGGCGTTCGTCCTCTTGGGACGCAAACGGCACCTAATGACGCGCGGTTGCAAAGTCGTCCGTAAGGAAAATATTGTCATTATGTTGTTCGGTTTCGGAAATGAGCTTGATTTTTTTGTTTTGGTTCAGCAATAAAAAAGTTTCTCTAATGAGACAGAAAAATGCCATTTCGGATGTTCACAAGAGACGGGTCCCAATTGTGAAAACATGGATCAAGTTGCAAAAAAATAAATACATAGCAGCCAGATGATTGGAAGGACCGTTAATCACCGGTTTCGAGACAGGAAAGGGCGTCGTCGTCATGGGTGATGGAATATCCAAACGAAACTTACCGAGATTTATCCGTATCACTTCCGGATCGCCCGTCGAGATCTTGTACGCTGCAACCGGTTCGAAATGTTCACTCAATAGCAACAACCAGCACCACAACAATGTAAATATCGCTATCGTGGGCAACGTTGACACTTGGGATGCCATGTTTCACTTGCACTGAACTTGTCACACGTTTTCTTAATGTTACACAAAACGCACACACAAATCTGACCGGATCAATTGCACTTTTCCATTAACAGCACGCGGTTTGACATTTGTTTCACTTAATCCGAGATCCCGGCTAGCCTGTCACCTAAATAAAAGCTTTATTGAAGGCATTACAGAACGGTTGCACTGATGATGATGATGGTGATGACGACGGTGGCAGTGATGGCCGCTGGTGACTTGAGGACATTGCTTTCAAGATGTTTGCCTGGGTGGATCCTGTAAGAAAAATAAAAACGTGCGATTTATAGTTTGCTTCCATCGATGGGGATTACGAAAGGGAGGAGGGAATCTGTTGGGAGAGCGATTTTGAACCCCTCTTGCCCTCCTTAGTTGCGCATGCACGATTCTAGCTCCCAGCAATTTAATTCGATGCACAGTGGTCCAGGATGGGAATTAATCTGGAAAGTATTTTTTTTCCTTGGTTTGTTTTCCGTCAATCTTGTTTTCCATACTGAGTATCAATGCTACTGACGTCAGGGTGGCAGCCCCCACTCCTGGGCCCTACCACATATCGACCCATCAACTCATGAACTGGAGACCAACGGCGGCTTTACTTCCCTTCCGAAGGAAGACATGATCATAGTCCTAGAACTTTTGCTTTAATATTTAGGTTTTTGGTTTATTGTGTTTTTGTGCTTGAAAAGTCACTTCTTTTGGTGGTTCTCAAATTAATTCATGTTCTAAAACTAAGTTTCTTGTTTTTGAAAATCAAGATATTTATTTGATTGTTTGTTTATTGAAAAATTCAACTGTCAATTAATGTCTAAATGAAGAAAAACTTAAACTAAATAGTTACGGTCAACGGTACGGAAAAGGCCAAGTAGCTGATGACGAAACACGTCAGCTGATACATTGAAGTCGAACATATAAAAGACGTGGTTGAATTGCCGGCTGATTGCTCGTGTTGTGTATAATTTCGGCGCCGTGCTTCCAAAAACAGAAAGTCGCGTTGACGAAGAGGCCTCTCAGGGGCATACATATTTAGCTGTGACAGCAGTGTTGGACAGTCAATGTCACCCGTAAGCAGCTTTCCAGCGAACGGTCCTGGTTCGATTTCCAGGATTCCCGCTCCTCGTACTGCTTCAAGTTCGTTGGGTCGCGCCAGTTGAGGAGACGAAGATCATATCTCACAAACTTACGTTGAACGGATTCAATTCTAGTGATCCAGCTAGTATGGAAAGGGCACCACACAACTAAACTTGACTCCAATAAGGATCGCACAAGCGAGCAGTAGAGTGACCTGACGCATAGTGGGTCAAGGAACTCGTCGGCAATTTTGAAAATAAAGCCCAATTGTCGATTAGCTCTGGAGATGATGTCATTGTAGTGGATTCTGATAGTGAGTCGGCAGTCCAAGGTAACGCCGAGATCCTTTATGTTCTCTACACGAGTAAGACAGCGTCCGTAGAGAACATGGTCAAACATGATTGGTTCGATTTTTCAGTGATATATATGTTCACACATACTGTATTTAAAGGAGTATTCAGAGTTGAATTTTTTGATTGTTATGACTCATAACTTATGAGAAAAATTCAATGACGATTGTGAAAGGGATTCCTGGTTCACTTATAATGAATAGTTGAAATAATTTCTCAGAAGAATAAAGAATTATGATGATAGTTCCGAGGAAATTTCGAGCTCATTGAGGACAGTAGAACTAGGATAAATGCCAAGATAATTCTAAACATAATTTATCGATTACTTTTTCAAAGAGACGTACCAGCTTTTGTAAACAATGCATTCGATCGTCGATTTGACGTAGCTGGTAGCTCGCCTACGCATGCTAACACTATCTTCAGATAGGGGAAAACTTTCCCTACCTGATAGTGGCGCTAGTATACGTGTGCGGGCTAACAGTAACGCCAAATCGACGATCAAATGCATTCATCACCAACATGGGCCACAACGTCTCACAATCTGTAGCCTACCAGGAGCTGAGCTCGAACCACTATCCAGTGATGGTCGAAGTAGGCTTCTCTGCTAACAGGTCACAAGCATCCCGGAGCAACTACCATCGCGTTAGCTTTGTTGACACTGCCGCGACTAAGAGGAGCATCCGGGGACCTCCGAAGACGTTGACCGGTGCCTGAATTCCATAGAGGAGGCGATATCCCGACCCAGGATACAACACGTGCCAGTTTACAGAAAGGTGAGCAATATTCTGAACCTTGCTAGACCCACTAAAGACATTATAAGCCTCCGTAGCCCCATAGGCAGTACCAACGTACTGGATTGACCATCTTGAAGACCCATTGCAATCGCCTAACGAAAATTATTCAAGCCAGCATGGTGGACCTCAGAAATGAGGTCTTTAATGGCAAGTTGCGTTCACTCCCATATTGTGCCAAGCCCTTCTGGAAACTAACAAAAATCCTTAAGAATAAGCCAAGGCCCATTCCATCACTTGTGTCTTTGAATCTACACAACGAATCACTCGCTCATCTGATAACCTTTGAAGAGGAGGCTGATGCTATAGGTCAACACTTTGTCAGCTCTCATAATCTTGGACTGAACATGGCTAGTCCATACGATACTGTGGTTGCTGAAAATGCAGCCAACCTTCATAAAATTCACAAAAAATTTCTTGTGGAATCCGAGATTACGGCTGACGAACGGTTGACTTATATCAAATTATCTAAAACGTTAAAGCCCCAGGTTTCGTCCAAATTCTGAATCTGGAATTCAAACACTTGAGTTCCACATTCTTCAACCAACTGGCACTGATGGATAGTTACCCTCGTGCTGGAAGTCAGCTAAAGTCATCCCCATCCAGAAGCCTGGGAAAGATCCGTCCTCTCCTTTAAGTTACCGACCCATCAGACTTCTCTCGGTGTTATCTAAGCTGTTTGAAAGGGCAGTATACCACCGACTCCTGGCATCTACCGATGAAAACGAATTATTGCTCAAGGAGCAGTTTGGCTTCCGTAAAAGTCGCTCGACTGTTCACACTCGAGTGACAAACATTCGCAGACGGAACAAGTCTGTATCTAAAACATCTGCCATCCCAAGTAACAATTTGGGTTTTATGAGGGTACTGTAGACCATCATTAAGACTTGTAGAGTGCTTTAACACCTCAATAAAACTTACACTGTTACTTGGGATGGCATTGCTGGACGTTGAAAAAGCGTTCGACAATGTTTGGCATGATGGCCAGGTCTACAAATTGCAGCGATACGTTCTTCCAATCTTCCTTGTTAAGATAATAAAAAACTATCTCTCGTACAGAACATTCCGAGTCTCCCTGAATAGCCTCACATCGGATGCCTTCAACATCGGTGCGGGTGTTCCACAACTATCCTGATCACCTCCGGTATGTCGGCTCTCTCTGATGGTGGATCGTTTTCCCTGTTCGCAGATGACACATCCATCATCTATAAGGGTAGAGTCATCGGAGCTCTGACCGCCAAATTTCAGAGAGGACTGGATGTCCTCCCAAGTAACAAATCTAGAGCTGCTTGGCTATATTCAAAATTTATAAAGGTTTTATTGCAGCTGCAACCATTACCTACAGCTTTATCACGGTCATATACAATGCAAGTCATGAAACATTCTTATAGCTATCTACAAAACCCCTATAAAGCTAATTAAAAAACCAACTGATGTTTATGCTATTTTCACTTATGAAAGGTTTTATGATTGCTTTGAAGTATACAATAAAGTAATATGAATTGCCCTTATAAAACCAAAAAATAAATCCTTTCGTTGCTTTATAAGTAAGCGCAATAAAACTAGTTGGCCATGAAACAGTTATTTTAAAACAATTATAAGCATTCAGTTGCAACTTGTCAGAAATGTAAATAGGTGGTTTATTTTTACAACATAGAAAAGAATAAAAACTTTCCGGTACTTCCAAGCGGAGCGCAAAGAAAATCAACAAAATTGTTAGCATGAGCATGAAAACATTTCGTGTATACGTATACGCGACGTAGTGTGCGTAAGAAAAACTACAAGGGACAGCCCTATGGGGTTGTACGCAATGGTGACGTAGGTCTACGTGGTATTATATAATCAAACTTATTCGTTAACTGCAGCAGGAGCTTGTATTTTGTGTAGGAATAGGAATTTGAGCGGGGTTCTCTCTATTTATACTCTTTAGTATGACGCGCTTGACATAGATGGCCCACAGCGACTCACGAAGAGCTACTGATTTCGATCCATAGCATAGCGGTGCAGCTTCTTCCTCCTTTGATGGTTGCTTATGTTGGCTCTGCAGCTAGCTGCTATCAGGCAGCCTTTCGTTGTTACTGTAGAACAATTTTCAACGCCACACGCTGAAAGCACTGCTACTGCTGCTACTGCTGTGACTAATTTCAACGACCGAACACCACCACACAGTGGTGTGGTCGTTGGTAGCGTGTGGTTCTGAGTATGGCGATGAGTGTGCAAAATATTACGCAATTCCATCCTCCCTATTCGCACGCGCCCGAAGATCGGAGGCGAATGCCACTTCGACTTTTTTCGTCTACTTACTACTATCTGACGACTGTGCTGGGGAAGCAGCATATGCATGTAGGTAATTGGTGGATTTGTTAGTTAATTCGACGCTTTTGAACAATGCTGGACATTTACCAGTTTTTCAATAGTTTTTTGTTGAAAATTAATATTCGGAAGCATTGTTATCAATGTGTAGCCATATTCCTGATCGATTGGTGATAAAATTATTGAAATTGGACCAGGGGCAGCTGAGTTATTAACGTTCAAAATCTTTCTTAATTTGTTACATGTTCCATTTTTGGTTTTCACAAAGTGTACCCTCATATCGAAATCAAAGACGTAGTCCTACGTCAAAACGTCAGCAATCTCCATGATTCTTCCGTTCTCACGGTCGAATCTTGGTCGAAATACATGGAATGGTGACAGTTTTAGGACAAATAAGTTGAAATCATGCATAACTTTTCATAAAGGCTAATGTACCATTCAAAACTTTTCTAAATGTTTGTAAAATTCATCGGTTGCACCCGTAGAATAGGAATATACATTTGCCCTCAAATAAAACAATAAATTCAAGCTGAAAATTGCATTAGGTCCTAAGTAATATTGACAGATTCGCTTCGTCAACTTTCTCTTTGCATCCCCACGGTCATGTAAAGACATTCCCAGGTATTTTCAGCACATACATCGATAAAAGAAGCTTTTATCTAGCATCCAATACGACAAACACATCAAGAAACGGTTCTGTGAATAAGTTATTAACGAAAGAGAAAGTCGACGAGAG